TGCATTGGGATTTTTAGAAATTTAGTAAATTAATTTATTCTTTGAACTTTCACTAAAAATTGCATTTAAATGCAGGTTAACGATCCAGCCATACATGGCTATATTGCCCTTTTGATAATTTACAATACATATACTCTATTGGAATACCTTCAAACTGGATTATCAATCCGAGCATGGTGGAATAAGCAGAGAATGGCAATAATAACCTCAACAGGTGCATGGTTATTTGGAGTTTTAAGTGTAGTATTAAAGATTTTAGGAATTTCAGATACAGTATTTGAAGTTACCCAAAAAGAGCAATCTACTTCCGATGCTGGTAGGTTTACATTTGATGGGTCTCCAATATTTGTGCCTGGAACTACTCTTTTGCTACTACACTTGGCTTCATTAGTTATGGGTTTATTTTCTATTAGAGATGGGAAAGGATTACCATTTGGAGAGATGTCGTTTAGCCTTTTGGTTTTGATTTGTTTTTGGCCATTTCTTAAGGGGCTGTTTGGGAGGGGAAAGTATGGTATTCCTTTATCCACAATATGTAAGTCAGCTATTATTGTATCTTCTTTTGTTTACCTATGCAAGCATAGCTCTATGGGTTAAGAGTTCACATATAATACTTCAAAGGCTTTGGTTTGGATGTGAAATAGGTAAATAGCCTTTTTTGCATTTGATCTTAGCAAGTTGTTGTCTTTTTGTTTGCATCATTATTTTCCATTGTAATAATAGAATATACAATAGATTTTGACAAATGATTGGTATAGTGAAAACAATTAAACAATTAAAGATTTTAGGAATATACAATAGCTCACTTACAAGAATTCAATTCTATTCTATTCTCTTAGTAATATTGAATTGAATTCTTATTTATAGGAATTGTTTCCTTGGTATCATGTTGGATGATCTTCAAATATATATAATTTGTTAAAATTGCAATTTTTTTTTGGATTATTATATCTTAAGTGTCTTGAACCAGGTAAGTGGAAAGAATTAAATGGAGGGCATAATAGAGATTTTTCATCGTTTCCATGTCATCATCCACTCACTTAACAAATATTTTAGCTCCTTCTTGCCAAGTAAGCTGCCACATGATAAAAATTAGATCTCACACGTATATAATCAGTTTTCTGATATGCCACGTCATTCGGAGATATCCAATTGCAAAATTTTATAAATTAAGACAATCATTTTTTTTTTTCGTTTAGACACCAAAATAGAAGAAGTAAAAGTTTAGACACTAAGTATATTCCATTTTTTTATACTCATAAAAACATCAAATTTAGAGGTATGGATCTCCAAATATGGAAAAAGAAAACTAATATTTGGTTTGTAAGAAAGGAATGGATGAGAATGGAAAGTTAAGGATCGGAAAAAACCATAGAAAGAAAATTCAAAATTTTTACTTTTACTTTATTGGAGTTTGTTTCTTTGAAGAGAGAAAATCTATAACTAGGTACATTGATTAGCAAGCTTAAAACAAAACGGTATGCATTTGAAATTTCACGTTCTTTAAAAAGAATCATTAAATTTATCTAAGTTACAATAAATTATTGAGTAAATTCACTATATTACCTTAATTTAATATTAATTCATTAAAAAAACTATTGAATTGGAATCATAATTATTAGTCATATACAAAAGATAATAAAACGGAGATATTAATTATAAAAGTAACAAATATTTTGGAATAAGTTATTTGTTCAAATCTGACAAGTATAATGAAACGGTGATATTAATTTTCTTTTGAATATCCACTCATTTTTTACAATTTGAGTTTTTGAAATTGAGGTAGTACCATAGAAGTTGTACTCAAAGCGGTATGGTTTACCAATATTTATGGTGGTCCACATCTCATTTCAATATAGTGCGATCCAAGGAGTTTGATATTATATGAACTAGCTAGCCATTTGTACTTCGTTTAGGTACTTGTTAAAAAGGTAAAATAAAAAGTTCCAGCTAAATTTTTCGACCAATTCAGTCAAACCAAATTGACTCTCCGAAGTGTCAATTAATTTATTTTTAAAAAATTACTATTATGTCCTTATGTAATAGTCAAATACATTAGTCAAAATTTATTTTTTTACAAAATATGTGGTTACATTCTTAAGTTTTGATCCCATCAGACACTTTAATCATTCTGTCCACTTTTTAAGTGTTTAGCCATGAGTCAACATAAAAAGGTAGTCGAGAAAAAAAAATTTAAATAACAAAAATACTCCTAATTTTTCGTCTCTCAAAAGCAAATAAAAAATAAGAAGTAAAAACAAGGAAAAGAAAAATAACTCCAATATTTTTCTTTTTTCTTTCATAATGTTTAAAATTAATTTTTTTTATTATTTAATAATCGCCATCATTATATGATGAAGGCATTGATTCCAGTTTCGAATTTCAACTCTTAATGGAATCCCAAACTCAACTCTATGATTCCCTCTTTCTCTCCATTCAATCATTAGTACTTATATTTCTCTTTCAAATCTACCAAATCTAATCTCTCTAAAGCTAAGAAAACTGATAAAAAATCCAAAAGAAATCTTCCAATGAAAATTCTGCTATTTCAATCTTCACTGATGATTTTGACGCGGCGCTATTTGAAAAGTCCGCTCGACTACTCCTAGTAAAATGATTTTTGCTTAGTAAGGTGAGACTGGATGAGAATTTACGGAGGATTGCCATGGGGATGGTAAAGGAATTTGAGAGATTAATAAGAAAACTTCTGCTTGTTCAATATAGTTTTTTGAATTTTCATTATGATTGTTGATGCATTGTTGATAATCTGATCTTCATATTATTAGAACTTTTCTTTTTCTTTTTAAGTTACTAAATAAGTAAAATGATATGAGATGGGTGCTACAGCAATACAAATTAACAACATGAGTAATGAGAGGTAGAAAAGGAAATAAAAAGGTAAAACAGAGAAAGGTAAAGGTTTGGTAATTTTGATTTTAATGAGGGATATGTTTATCTTTTCCGGCAAAAATACTAAAAATTATCAGAAGGATTAAAGTGTTTGACGAGATCAAAATTAAAAACATAGGCTCTGTTCGGCAAGAGCGTTTGGATTATTAGTGAAACTACAGCTGTTACTTAGTATTTTGGAAACTAACATAATCAAGGCCACCCATTCCTTTATATCAGCACAATCACAGAAAATTGAAATTAATTGTAAATATGTAATTTAGTTCCTTTCTTTATTTAGCCTTTGTTTTTGTGTATATAAACTTGTACTGAGTATCATCAAATACAGAACATATTAGTTTTTTAGTAAGTTTTTTTGTATCATTTGTCATTCTATACTCACAGGTAAAAGAAATGAAGCTAAAATTAATATATCATGTCTAACAAATTACTTAATAATTCAATTGTATTTAATAGAGGTGTCAGGTTCTAGAAGGGTTACTGTTACTTTTAGAAGGGTTTATTTCGGCAATTTAATTATCAACTTAATTAATTTAAGGTTGAAAACATCCAAATCACCTAATGGGCTAAACATCCAAGCTTACATATATGTCACAAAAGTTGGGTTGCTAAATAGCAAAGTCATATTTTTTTTTATATAAGTTTCGAGTGGACATTTTTAAGGGAGATATGTGGGCAATCTTTAAATGCAATTTAATGCTAAGATTAACAACCTATAAAAAATTGCTATATACTTGTACTTTACAAATAATAAAATATTTCTTTTACAAAGCTTTGATTAACTTTACTTTATCCGCATAATTTTAAAGCATATATCTATTAATCTAGTCTGAAAGTCAAATTTAGCGTGTATTCATTTTTGCAGACAATATTCTATATGCACCTAGCGCGCCTATAAATTTCAAATTCAAGCTGTTAGTCAGTTAAGAAGGTTGCTCCCGCTCAATAATTGTACAACAATTAAAATTAATATTAGAAAAATAGATTCGTTACAAAAAATAATAAAAAGAGAAAAATAATACCCGTAAAAGAAAAGACTTCTCCACATAAAATAGGAAAACTTTTACCTAGCACGAGAATTATGGACAATAAAAAAATTGACAAATATACTTTTTATCTCGACTAGTCTCCTAATTAAGTTATAACAGAATGAAAGTGGAAGATGGAAATATATTATAATTTAATAAAATTAACCTACTATGTGTTCTTTTATTATCAAAATTTACTTTACAAACAAAAGATACTATAATTAAAATATTATTAATATTATTGCATAATAACTAAATATAATATTACATGAATAGAAAATACATTTGAAAACTAAAAAAAATTAATTATGTAAGTAATTTTTTCTTTTGAAAAGAGAAACTGAAAATGTCACTTAAGATCATTTCAAGTTTACAACAAAACAACATAAAAAAAAAAAATCCTAATTACATAAAAATTAAAATCCAAATAACTGCAAAATTTATAAATATAATAACTTCCAAAAAAAATAAGAAAAAAGATATTAAAAACGCCAATTAGGTCTGGTCTAGTTAGTCTTTTCATAAATATGAGGAGTATGGATCTCAAATTGGAATCTCTTTAACTTTTTCACCAATTTGGTGAGTCAAGATGATGATTACCTGTTGTATGGTAGATGATGTTATTTTGGTTCATTGGGCCTCCTAATAAAAAATAAAAAAAATAAAAACAATACTCAAAGAATAAAGCTCCATATTGGATGGAAAATTTAAAATATATATACATTATACATCATCTATATCTATACTATATATAAAAGTGAAAATAAAGGAAAATAATGAGATTTTCTATATTATAAAATTTAAAATACTCTAAAAATAACCTTAATCATAGCTAATTAAAAAATTTTAACACACATATATATATATAATTATATATATATAATTTGATTGGATTTTTTTTAATAGATAAATTGAAACACCCTGAATTTTTATTTTCAAAACTTTTAAATTTTTATTAAATCAAAAATCGCAAATTTTGGCCGCGTGGGTTGCAATTGTAACATAGTCCCAATTGATATTTTCTTTAAGTTTTTTTAATAGATAAACTAGCATGTTTCCATCTTCAGTCATAATACCATTTCTCAATTCACTTCAACAGCAATACAACCCATTTACACAAACACGTAACTGGGCATCTGGGATCTATGCACAATTAAGTGTTGCATGAAGTTCAAGATTGCTCCCATAAATTTGAATGTTACGCTAATGTTCAAACTTAAAATTAATAAATTAAAGATTATGTCTGCTAAATTTCTTTAAAAACCACCACATGGAATTATAGATGTTGGGCATAGCGTAGAAATAGGACAAAACAGAACAGTAGATATCTAACGAGCATGATCAGGCAATTGGCATAAAAGCATTCCAGAATCCATGATTCTAACAGCAAAGAACTAGATGTGCCAAACCTTCTTTGAACCGTTAGCCTTGAGCCAATTAACTGAAGCACGTATATCCTTAACAACACTTTGCCAGTCAAGATCTTCCATCAAATGTTGCGCTTCAGCAACATCCAAGCCTACCTTTCCCCGGCACAAGCTGAAACATAAAGTTAAAAATATTTGACATTAAGATGCGACAAACATATCTCGAAAACAATATGTTGTCATTGAAGTAAGATACAAAATAAATGATTCTCAGCTGCTTACTCAGGGATAAGCGCCTTATATCCAGGCTCCAATTGGGAGATTTTTACAGCATGGTTCTTGATCTCGAAATCAACACCCACCATTCTTGAAGCACTACAATCCCAGCCCACCATTCTTGAAGCACTACAATCCCAGGTGCATCTTCTTTGCCCACCACATATGCATCAAATGTCTAATAAAAAAAGATTCAAGAAAACGAAAAGAAAGTAGCACACCATCAATAATTTAGTTCCAACAAGCATTCAACCAGGATTGAGTTATGTTTGTGTGTGCTTTTGTATATGCCATCAGAAACCCAAACTGCTGCTAATGTTTACAGTGTAATTATAAATTCCCATAATTTATTGTCCTTTAATATTTTAATTGTATGGCTAATGCAAGGTCAAGTGGTTACCCACTAACAGTCAATTTGTCAATTACACAACACAAGAGTGATCCAAATGATTTCTTCTTCAAAATCACTGAAACTAAACAATCGATCGCCTTCAAAACAATGGGATAAAAAATAGAATTCTGCACTTTTAATCAGTATCCGAAAATCAGAAGAAAACCCAATTTCCACGTTGATTGAAAACACAAACCTTTTAACGAAAACCTCCCAAAACAAACAAGCCCTTCCGCAAAAATCACTAACAAAAAATAAAAGACAAAAGAAAAATAATATATAAAAACAAAAAAACTTACAGTATCTTCTCTCTGGATTTGGATTTTCTTGAAAAGAGCAGAAGCAGAGTCAGCCATTGCACGAACTTGAAAGCGGGAAGCGGAGAGAGAAGGAGAGAGTGTCCGTAGAAGAGAAGATGCAGTAGAGGGTTTAAGAAGAGTTGTATTTCAAGACAATAAAACTTCTCGGGCTATTCATCTTGAAACTGAATTTGCAAACACTAGTTTGCGCGATTTCCCAGATGCGAAGGCATATACTCGCCGTCTTAAGGTACTTGCTGATCAGCTGGCCAATGTTGGTGCCAAGGTTTCTAATCAACAATTGGTGATGCGACTACTGACTGAGCTAACGGATTCTTATGAGAGTTTTGTCACAGTAGTCCAGAATAAGGTACCTTGTCCCACCTTTGCACAGGTTCGATCTATGCTTTTTCTTGAAAAAACTACTAAAGCTGAGCGAGCTAAAGTTGATGCTGCAGCAGCATCTCCTCCTACGGCTATGATGGCAAAATCTCCTCCTGTTGAAACATTATCATCTAGTCAACAATCATGGAATCAGTCTTCTTATTCTGCCAGACCTAATAATCGAGGACGACATGGAAATAATAGGCATCGTGGCGTGGAAATTATTCTGGAGGACGTGGCAATAATTCTGGTGGTCGAACATTTCCACGAGGGGGTGGTTTTTCTCATCCATGGCAATATCCGTTTCTCGGAGTATGTATGGCAGCCTTCTTATTATGATCAGCAATCACAGTTGCAGCAGTGGGCTGCACCTCCATGTCCTTATCCCTCATGGAATTATAGGCCTCTTGTCCCAGCACGGCAACAAGGAATTTTGGGTCATTCACCATCACAGCACAGTCTTCTGCTCCATCGCAGGCTTTCTATACTACTGCCTCTAGCAGTTATGCTCCCACAAACATTGATTAGGCTATGCATACTTTGTCGTTAAAACCGCCTGAGGAACATTGGTTCATGGACAGTGTGCCACTTCTCATATGACTGCAAATTCTGGTAATCTCACTTCTTATTCTAATTTGAGCCGAAATAATGGAATAATTGTTGGTAATGGTAGCACTATTCCAATTCATGTATTTCCAATTCATTGGTCTTGGTCATGCATATTACTTACCATATGAGCTAAACCCCAGCCTTTTGTGCAATTCATCAAACATTCTTTTATATTACTCCACATTTAATTAACAAATCTTGTATCTGTTTTAGATAAATGTTAATTAAATTATAAACAAAGTTTGCGCTGTTGAATTGATCCTTTTGGATTTACTGTGAAGGGATTTTCTAAACGTGGGGCCACCTTCTGAGGTTGCAATTAGCACAAGTGATTTATATTCGTATTTTACTGATTTCTACATTTTCAATTTGCGAGTTGGGACCACTCTTCGTTCAGTCTGCGTTTTCTGTTCTTTCTTCTTCAAAACATGGGCATTTCTCGTTTAGGTCATCCGGGAAAGATGTGCTAGTTTTCTTAGGAACCAATACATGGCATTCTCGTTTAGGTCATCCTGGGAAAGATGTGCTAGTTTCTCTTAGGAACAATAATTCTATTTCTTGTAATAACGATAAGTTTCCATTTTGTAATTCTTATCTATTGGGGAAATCTATAAGACTGCCGTTTCATGCTTATAGTTCCACTAAAAATATGTCATTTGATATTATTCATACTGATTTATGGTCATCACCTGTTCCAAGTTCAGCTGGTCATCGATATTATGTTTTGTTTCTTGATGATTTTACCAAATTCTTGTAGACATTTCCAATATCACATAAATTTCAAGTGCTTAGTGTCTTTATTTCTTTCTCTAAATATGTTCAAACACAATTTGGTAAGACAATTAAGCATTTACAATGTGATAATGGTGGCGAATATAACAATGTCAAATTTCATGATTATTGTATACAAAATGGCATAGTTTTTCTCATTTGATTGTACTTAGTATACACAAACAATGGCTATCGTTATATATCAGTTTTCTTGTCGCCTATTTCCTCTTCTCGATAAATTTGGTTAAAGCTGAACGTAAAATTTAACACGCCATCAATAACATGGTTCGAACTGTTTTGCTTCATGGCGTTCTATACCTGGCACGTTTTTGGCATCCATGCTTTACAAACTGCCACTATTCCTTCTTTAATATACTTCCTAAGCAAATTACTTGAATTACAGTTCACCTTACTCAATTGCTCTACCTTTAATATCTATCGTATTCTCATTTGACACATATTTGGTGTTTTATGTTCCCTTTAAATTCCGTCTTTCCACCATTCAATAAGTTAGAGCCAAGATCTAAAACCTTTGTGTATTTTTAGGATATCCTTCAAAATCATGAGGAGGGTAGAAGTGTCTTGATCTGTCTTCAAATAAAATCATCATTTGTCGACATGTTTAATTTTGACTTGAGATTATCAGTATCCTTTTTCCAAATTACCTGCTGCTAACACTTCTGAATATGATTTTTCTGGATGGTTTAAATATGATTTTCTGGATGGTAGTTTAACACCACTACAGATACACAGGCTACATAATTCATCTATTTCTCCAACTACCAATGATGAGCCTTTACATGTGTCATCACCTGCTCCCATTATACCAACTTCACAACAACATTCCCCTGCACCTTCCAATAATATGACACAACACCATCCACCTGTCAATAATTCCCAAGCTCACTTAAATCCACCTGCACCTTCTCATAATATGACAACCCGTAGTAAATCAGGAATATTTAAGCCTAACCCAAAATATCAGTCTTATGTTGCTACTTCTTCGTCTATTTCCCCTATACCAACAAATCCTGTGTCAGCTCTAAAAGACCTGAATTGGAAAAGTGCTATGCTTGATGAATTCTCATTTAAAATAAGACTTGGGGATTTAGTTTACTCGTCCAGCAATGTCAATTATTCTTAGATTATGTGGGTTTTTCGTCATAAAAAGAATTTTTTGATTGGGTTCAAAATTTTTGAGAGCATAAAGCCCGTTTGTAGGTGATGGCAGGTCTCAGCGGAAAGGAAATGATTGGTAGGATATCTTCAGCTCCGGTTGTTTTAAACCTGCGACAATCAGGAATGGTGCTTAGCCCTGCAGTTCAAAGAAATGGTTCATTCATCAACTTGACGTTAAAAACGGCATTCTTGCACGGAATCTCAATGAGACAGTTTATTATGTATCAGGCCCTTTGGGATTTCGAGACTCCTCCCAGCCTGATCATTGTATGCCTTGTTAAAGACAGTCTTTATATGGCTTGAAGCAAGCCCCTCGCACTTGGTCCAAAGGTTTTACTGATTTTGCGGCAAACAATTGGTTTTTATTTCATAGCACATTGTGATCATTCTTTATTCATTTAGGGCATAAACATGCAGCAATGGGCATACATATTACTGTACGTGATGATATAGTTTCTTTAACTTCGTCAGCTGCTTTAAGAAAGGACATCATTACTAATTAAGTGCTGAGTTTGCATGAAGGATTAGGACCAAGGACTTAGGACCACTTAATTATTTTCTCAGTATTAAAGTTCAACGCAACAACGCAGGTATGTTTTTGACCCAACAAAAATATGCTGCTGAACTGTTAGATCGTGCCGGCATGACTGAGTGTAAATCGAGTCTCACACCTGTGGATACAACAGGCAAATTAAGTGCTCAAAGTGGTGAACCGTGTTCTAATCCTAAGTTATACAGGCAAATGGCTGGAGCATTACAATATTTAACTTTTACTAGACCTGACATTTGTTATGTTGTCCAGCAAATCTGTCTCTTTATGCATGCTCCAACTGAACAGCACATGAAGGCTTTAAAGCGGATACTGCGGTACATTAAAGGAACAATTCATTATGGTTTACAGTTATATAAATCATCGGCACATTCTCTGGTGGCTTACACGGATGCCGATTGGGGTGGTTGTCCTAACACCTGCCGCTCTACTTCTATATTTCTTGGGAATAATCTTATTTCTTGTTTCTAGTATTTCTTGGGAAATAATATCTTATTTCTTGATTCTATCAATACAGCGGTAATAAATAGTGTTGCCAAACATGTTAAAGTCTTCACCCAAGGCATAAACTCTTGTCAGGAACGTATAATCTTCAAATCAGCGCAGAAGGCTGTGAATACAGAGGAAGTTGCTAATGTTGTTTCTGATCTTGTTGGTTAGGAAATCTTTTTTGGCGTGGAAACTAATTTATGATTTAGCCTGATTATTCAAATAGCTGTAACGTATATGGGTTTATAATCTCGTATCATACTGTATTTAGTAAGCGCCTTCAACCTCCTCACTTGCAGTAGAATCCAGTTAAAGCTCACATCAGCGCACCTAAAAAATTCGAGTATAGAGATGGATATTCATTTTTCGTGTGCTTTTTGAAAAACGTTTCAAAATGGAGGAGGTTCCGCAGATTCATTCATGTTCCTTTTCTCGTTATTATCAAAGTTGGACAGAGAACATGTTTTACACAAGGTACTCCGCCGTGCGTTTTGTCTTGACTGATTATCAGAATCAAATCTAAGTGTTTTTCTCCCTCGGCACGTCCAGATCGCGCCCCTGTGTGAGGGGTTATTGATAGCGATAATAGACCAAATCCTCTGATCAAATTTGCTTCTATTTGTTATTATACTAGATTATGTCTTCAATAATTAGTAGTATATATATAATAGGACACTACCTGTAGTATAATGAAACAAATTTTCTATCTCTAAGAAAATCGATAAGATATCAGCATACTTTCACTTTTGTATATGCCATTTAGAAACCCAAACTGACTGCTAATGTTTAACAGAAAATTGGAATTAATAAATATCCCTCATTAATTTTATTAGTGTTCTTTAATATTTTAATTGTATGGCTAATCAAGTGGTTACCCACTAACAGTCAATTTGTTAATTACACAACACAAGAATGATCCAAATGATTTCTCCTTCAAAATCACTAAAACTGCACAATCAATCCCTTTCAAAACAATGGGATAAAAAATAGAATTCTGCACTTTTAATCAGTATCCGAAAATCAGAAGAAAACCCAATTTCCAAGTTGATTGAAAACACAAACCTATTAACGAAAACCTCCCAAAACAAACAACCCCTTCCGCAAAAATCATTAACAAAAAATAAAAGAAAAAAGAAAAATAATATATAAAAAAAATA